GTAATAAAGAAGAGGCCTAGATCTAGACCTAACCCTAACCCTACCCTTACCCCTACCCCTACCCCTACCCCTACCCATACCCCTACCCCTACCCCTAACTCTACCCTTACCCCTACCCCTACCCCTACCCCTACCCCAAGCCCTCAATTCTGCTCTGTCTCATAGTGGTCGCTCATTACGGAAGTCCTCCCCTAATTTCTACATCTCAACCCCCTCCCTTGTTTTACGGGAAATGACCCAAGAGGGATCAGGGCTGAGACTGAGGTTACAGGGGCTGATGCTCCACAGGATCGTGTTCGCGTCCCAGTGCCAGTAGTCAGTTACGGTGGTCAGATTGGAGCCAAATCCCAGAAATTTGGCTCTTTTGGATCATGTCTGGCTCTCTGGCTCTTTTTTTGGCTCCAAACACCAAATGTTCAAGAAGAAGGGGACAGAAGAGGCAAGAAAAAAGAAAAAGAGAGAATATGAGAAAAAAAATGAAAGTGAAGAAAAGGGCTAGGATTGCTTCATAAAATTATTAAACTAGATCTAGATCTAGTTAACACAATTTAATGCCCTCGCTCATTAGTTCTGAATAATTTACCACCCTTCTACCCTCATGCAAAAGCATAAATTTTAATAGTCTCGTACTCATGTCTTGTTACGTTCGTACTCGCTCTCTGTTCCTTGAACCATAATTTATTATGTGCAGGCAGAGAGGCCTGCCATCGTTAAAAGTGTGTCGGCTGGTCCCACATCCGCTGCAGTTGCGTTGATAGTGAGACATATATAATTATTCTTCAGAGGTGAAAAATGTTTTACATTATTATTATTATTCTATTTGTTGTTCATTAAAGATTTAGCAAAGACCTAGTTAAGAGGATCATATATCTGTTTCAAAAGTCTGCATCGTAATTTTCCATCCCAACTTTAATTCTTTAAGAGCGCTCCTTCATCTGGGATGGAACACTTTTAGGAGCAGGCTGAACTATTATTATTTTACATTTTAAAAAGGGAGTAGGGAGAGTATACAGACCCGGTAACCGGGAACAAAGTCACAAAGTATACAGACCCGGTAAGGGAACTCTTTTGTGATTTCGGAAAGTTTCAGCGCCCTCTTGGCTCAGGGTAGACCTAGGTTCTTCTAGATCTATGGTCTGGATCTAGATCTAGGCAGACAGACTTAAATCTTTGATCTAGTTTCGCGGCTAGCCTAGATCTAAATGAAGATTGCGGATGTCTTTTCGATGAACGATCGTTTTTCCTCCGCTTTGGAGTTGGACGAATCACAATTT